TCAATCTCCGATCATACTTTGTGAGCACGTCCGCGTATCCAGCGGAATCGAAGGTTTTTGGTTTTTTCTCAGCGATTTTCCAAATACCCATCTTGTTTAAAGGCAGTAGGTTAGGTGTTTCGATGATTTTTGGTGGAATACCCTTTGGGTTTGACAAGATCTAGATTGGGATATTTATTATGGTGATACAACTATATATCTGGCAATGGTAACGAATCAAGTAATCTAAGCGATGCGAAACACTGTCTTGTTTTGCCATTGGAGTTAGTCTTGACTTATACCGATGACGGCATGACTTTCGAGGTGGTGAGTCCAAAGGTCGGAAATGAGCAGCTGAACGAAGGTCGAATTCTGGGCTCTAATAGCGCTCTTTATGCTTGAATGAGAGGACGGTTCACATACTGGTCTTGCTAGAAGGGTATGATTCCTAATTTGTTCGAGACCTTCGGAAGTCGAACAATCAGACCTTGCCCGTAACATTGATCAAGTATCAAGGGAGGCGGGCAGTAAGTTCGGTTTAATCGATTCGACGCACGCGGCTGTCGCGGACCATATGCTTCGCCGTTATTACATCTCTAGCGTTCAACGTACAGCTCAATCGATATGCGATCATTATTATAGGCATGATTTACTGTTAGCTCTTTTGTTCCTGTATTTCTTACCTGCTGCTGCATTCTGCTACATTCCTTCGCGCGCGGCGTCCCTCTAGCCGCAACGCGACAATTTCGATCCTTCTGCACCACATCCAAGCATCGAAGACATCCGTGAGCATTCTCGTCATCACGACAGAGAGTGATGGTGGTGGGTAATCAAGATGAGGCTTACAAAGAGAAATGACTGCTTTGAGGGCACGTTAACAGTATCTGGCGAGGAGTGCAATGGCATTTTGACCAAGTATTGTAGCCCAAATGGGGAAGTAGGACTGATATCCTTTAAAGCGTCGAACATCCTCAGAGCTCCCCCTGTTCGTTATGAAAATTTTCTGGAGGGCTGACTTTTGCTTACAGTAAGTGATGGAAGTTTCTTGTTGAATTTGGCAAAATGTAGTAGTAGGGTCGTCCTGTTTCTTCCATTTGCACATAAAAAACGATCAGGTCTTTTCGATGGCATTTTGCATGTTTCTTGAGCACAAACTAGCTTTTTGATTACTTACTGGTTCAATGTGACGGTAAAGATTCGATATCAACGAGATGCTACAAGAGGGGAAGATGAATGATCGTTTTCAATTCGATGATTACTTCGGAGATTTCAGTGAGCTGTCACTGGGTTCGTTCATCGTTCTTTTTTAGGATTTTCTCTTCTGTAGTCCCCGAGCGCTTCCAATGCTTCGATGAGAAGACGTCTTAAATGATCCGTGTGACAAGCGTCAAATGCCCA